TCTGTCTTTGTATTATCTTTTTACCAAATCTAAATTATGGTTGGATTAAATGAGGTGATGGGTTAAGTAAAGAAATGTATTGTTTTTTTAAAGAAAGTTAATTGTGATGTGGCATGCCAATAAAAAAGGAAATGTTGTAAAATGAGAGTAAAATACAATAATACTATATAAGAAAGGAAGATAAATGGTAATGGAAAATAGAAAATAGAGAGTAATATTTTATCTCTTTAAGTGTGTCTTTCATAAGGGTGAAGAATACCCTTTTATAGGATGTAGAAATCATTTGTTTATAATCTTAAGTCAAATATGTTAGTACATCTTTAAGACTTACATTAAATAGACACATTACGTTAGGTTGTTGATGAAAAGAAAAAATCCACAATTAAATGGATTTGTAACACTGCCCCTTGGATACTTATAGATAGTGTGGCTCGTTAAAACCTTACTAGGAAAAACTCAATGGGAAAAAGCCTAGTGAAGGAAAAGAGTACACATATCTTGTACTACACCTTGAGTGCTGCTTTATTAAAAATCTTACCAGAAAACCCAATGGGACAAAATCTTGATTAAGGATTAAAGAGTACATCGCTTATTTTACTCCCCCTGATGAAAACTTTATTTGATATCTCAGACACAACACATTCCAATCTTATCTCTTAGCTTCTCAAATGTTGACGTTGTCAATGCCTTAGTGAATAAATCTGCAAGATTATCACTCGAACGAATCTGTTGAATATTTATCTCACCACTTTATTGAAGAGTATGTGTGCAAAATAACCTAGGTGAAATATGTTTTGTTCGATCTTCTTTGATATATCTTCCCTTTAATTGAGTCATGCAAGCAACATTATCTTTATATAATATTGTTGGAATCTTCTTTTGCACAGAACGATCACATAATTGCAAACTGTGTTGAGTCATTGATCTCAACCATACACACTCTCGACTAGCTTCATGAATGACTATTATCTCTGCATGATTTAAAGAAGTAGCAGCTACTGTTTGCTTCATTGAACGTCATGATATAGTTATACCTCCATTTTTGTTAATAAATAACTTGTCTGAGATCGAGCTTTATGTGGGTCAGACAAATATCATGCATCTACATAACCGATCAATTCTGACGTGATTGCACTGGAACACAACAATCTCATATCAATTATTCCTTGAAGATATCTGAATATATGCTTAACACCTTTCCAATGTCTTCTTGATGGACATTAATTGAATCTTGCCAATAAACTTACTGTGAAACAAATATTTTTTTGGGTATTGTTGCCAAGGTACATTAGTGCTCCAATAGCACTGAGATATGAAGTTTCATCACCAAGAAGTTTCTCATCCTTTTCTAGAGGTCGAAATGGATCTTTATTTATATCAATAGATCTCACAACCATTGGGGTACTCAATGGGTGTGATTTATCCATGTAAACTCGCTTCGAAACCTTTTCAGCATATGTTGATTGATGGATAAATATTCTAGTTGTCAAATGTTCAATCTGAAGGCTAAGACAAAATTTTGTCTTACCAAGATCTTTCATTTCAAATTCTTTCTTCATACACTCAACGACTTTTGAAAGCTCTTTAGAAGTTCCAATGATATTCAAGTTATCAACATAAACAAATATTATTACAAATTCAGATGTTGACGTTCATATAAAAATATAAGGACAAATAGGGTCATTCTTATGCCCTTTCTTTAGCAAATGTTCGCTAAGACGATTATACCACATTCGCTCAGATTGTTTCAACCCATATAAGAATTTCTAAAGCTCTATTGAACAAGTTTGTTTTGAAATTTTATATGCTTCAGGCACTTTAAGTGCTTCAGGGAAATATCATGGTCCAGTGAGCCATATAAACAGGTTGCAACAACGTCCATTGGATGCATTTCAAGTTTTACATGAACTGTCATATTTATTAGATACTTGAAGGTAATTGTATCTAGCACAGGAGAATATGTCTCCTCATAATCAATACTAGGCCTTTGCGAATATCCTTGTGTCACAAGTAGTGCTTTATATCTTACGACCTAATCATTTTCATTGCTCTTTCACACAAAACCCCATTTGTACCCTACTGGCTTGACACCTTCAGGTGTTCGGACTATTGGTTCGAAAACTTCACATTTTTCTAGTAAAGTGAATTCTTTTTGAATTGGCTCGTTCCATTTTAATTAATCATTTCTCTGTCTACATCCATTGACAGATTTCGGTTCCAAATCCTCATCTTGTTGCATTATTTTAGTTGTAATATTATAAGAAAAAAATATTATTCACCACAATATTATTTTGATTCCACTTTTTCCTTGTCGAGACATAATTTATTGATATTTCTTCATTCTCATTATATTCAGGTACATGAATCTTCTCAATGGTGTCATCATTTATTATGTCTCAGAGCTTTTCATGAGAAATTGACTCCATATTATGATCATCTTGATAATTTATTCCTTTCTTTTTTGAGAATTTTTTATCCTTGAAATCAATTGGTCTACCACGTTTTAGGCGTGGTCTAGAATTATTTGCCTTAACATTTTATCCTATTGAGACACCAACTCGAACATGAGCATTAGTAGCTCGAATATATAATTTAGTAACTCGTGGAAGGTTAGTAAATGCATCTGACAGCTGATTTGCAATATTTTGAAATAAATCATCTTTTGAACTTCTTGCTCACATTGATTTGTTTGAGGATCTAAATGAGACAATGAAATTGAATTTCAATCTATCTCATTTTCCAATTGCTTTTGTTCTTCCCCTAATGTTGGGTATGCTGATCATCAAAATGACAATCAATAAATCTTTTTGTAAATAAATCTCTAGTTCTAGGTTCCAAATATTTTATAATAGAACGAGATTCATACCCAAGATATATCTCCAACCTTCTTTGGAGATCTATCTTTGTGTATTGTGGAATCGGAACATATACTGCACAACTAAATATTCTGAGATGGAAAATATTTGGCTCCTGACCAAAAACTAATTGCAATGGGGAGATATCATGATAATTGGTTGGCCTTATGCACACAAGTGTTGCTGCAAGAAAAATAGCATGCCCCCATATTGAAACATGCAACTTTGTCCTCATCAACAATGGTCTAGCTATCAATTGGAGATGTTTAATCAATGACTCTACTAGATCATTTTGAGTATGAACATGTGCAACATGATGTTCAGTGTTATTCCAGTGGACAAACAATAATCATTAAATACTTGAGATGTAAACTCACCAACATTATCAAGACGAATTGTCTTTATTTGAGCCAACAACCTCACAAAAGTCATATTGCCAGTTGATAATAAGCACACATGTGACCATCTTAGAGATGCATCTATCAAGATCATACAATATTTAAATAGTCCACATGCAAGAGAATTCCTTTGATTGAAGAACATTTTGGTTCTTCAAAGTATGCCCATGTAAATTCTCAATTATTCTACACATCATATTATAACCAGGATGGCCCAATTGGTCATGCTTAGTATTTTGGACGGTGAAAGGCGATAAAAGGTGACAAGGGTCTACCTCGCCACAAGGCTCACCACTCACCTTTTTGAATTAAGGCGCCATTAATACCAAAAAATTAAAATATTAATTGCTTATATAAATATCCAAAATCTTAATAGCAATAACACATATTAGCAAATATTTCAATTAAAAAACTAATAGTAGATATTAAAAGTCTAGAACTTGAATGACTCAATAATTCATAAGACAATTGACAAGCAATACTAAAACTCTAAAAGTCTATTCTTCTACAAGATTATCCAAATCTTGAAGATCAACATCCTCTTCATCATGATTATATTGCTCCTCATCTTCTTCCTCCTCGGATTCTTCATCAATTAGTGTATGAGTCCTACTTAAACTTGTAGATGTAGTTTGTACTCCTTTGCCCTTGTCAAGTGCTCTTGATCTTGAAGAAATTCTCCTAAGATGATAGATACTTTCGTCAGCTCCAATTGTTGTAGCGACACTACCCCAAGTAAGATCACCTTCCTCATATATTTGTTTATCTTCTTGATCTTTGGGACATCCAACTAACCATTCTTTTGACTCATCAATATTCTCCAAGAGAATTGGATCAATAGTATCATGAGAATCATAATGAAGTTTCAATGTTCTATGTACTTAATGTACACTACATCATTGAGACGCGATAGTGCAAACCTATTTTACTTTTTGGAATGAGACTGCGCATAAGTTATAGATTTTAACTAATAGATACTACTAATAATATAATATGGAAATTAGGATATAAAATATTCTTCTTATGTGTTCAAACACACTCTAATTTCACTCACATCCGGATGAGCTACAAGTTAGCTTAATACCTTCATGGAAAAAGTTTGCAAGTTTGGAGTTTGACTACCAAATAGTGACCACCATTCAACTATAAAAAAATAAATTTAAAGGTCAATGAGTATAAATGTCAAATAATTTAAGTAAAGCTATAGTATAAAGTATAAACTATAAAGAGCTAAATCAACTCACTTACCCGGTGACCTTGTGTCTTTGGATCTTTGAGCCTGACCACAACCAAATAGTCCATCCGCCATTTTGTACTTAGGCAACTCAACGACTAGTTAATCTTGTATTGTTATATCAGGGTTTATCTTCTCAACACATGCATGATAATCCGTCCATAGACTAGGATGTATAGTGCCATCGTTATGAGCTTTTTAAAACAATCCTAGGTTTAAAATATGGATGCAGTATGTAAAAGCCGATGGAGTTGGTCTGAACACCTTACATCAATAATTTCAAACACTTTCTCATATTGCTTCTTAACTCCACCAAAACCCCACTCAATAGTTTCTTTGGCTCTATCCATTACTTTATAAATATAATCCATTTGTGGTTTTTTCTCCCCATCCACCAAACAAAGCATTGTTGTCAAAGGACCACAAACTCTAAGTGCCCGAACAACATCATTTCAAAAGTGGGAATAAATAAAAAGGTTGACAACTTCTTTCCCCAAATTTTTCGTTGCAAATTTACTTGAAGTCCATTCGGTTAAGAGGACTAGAATTCTCAAGTTTTTCTGTTGTTTGTACATAGCTCTCAAAGTTAAGAATGCCGTTGGAAATCCTGTCTTGGCCGGTTTCACCAAATTTCTTTGATTGATGAATTTTCTCATATGTAAGAATGGATTTGACGGCCTTCTTAACAACTGTTAAATTAATATTATAGTAATTAGTAGCTAATGAGTATTAAATATTGGCTATAAAGAAAGTTAGAAGATATGAGAGTGATATTACCTGAAGCATATGGATTAATCTTGAATATGTCATAAAATATCAAGTTGATGCAATGATCAACATATGGAGTACAATAAATGTGTAGGTACGCACCTATCATCATGCTTCCCGCTTTAACATTCTCACTAGCATTACTGGTGACACTTTGTACAACATTTTCCGATCCAATTCTTTCAATAATTGTGCTTTCAAACAAGTTGTACATTATGGTAGAATCAGTAGATTCATTGCTAGCATCAGTAAAACCAAAAAATACACTACTGCTTGGAGAATTCACCAAAATATTGATGATCATTTTACCATTTCGTGTCGGCCATTTGTCCATCATAATGGAACATCCAAACTTTGTCCATTACACTTTATGCTGATTAACATTTTATTCACTTTCTTCACCTCTATTTTTAGGTGAGTAACTCTAACTTCATGGAATGTAGGAGGCTTTATTCCGGGGACACATTGTGCTACTGCCCCAATGAATTTATCAAATGAATTGTAATTAACACAATTAAAAGGGAGCCCCGCATCGTACATCCATAATGCAAAAGCATTTACCGCACGCTCTCTTAAAATTTTCTTGGTTTCGTTAATTCCTACTCCTGCTTCCTTTTCAAAGCCTCCTTTTGTTGTGATTTTTGTGGAAAATAGAGATTCATAGGGCCTTCTTCACGTTCCACGCCGTGGATGATGCACTTCCACTAGAAGATATCTTTTGAGTTTTGGAGGGAGACAACATTTCAGCATATTCATTCATATCATCATCATCATTATCAATATTAACAAATTCTTCTGGCTGCCTCACTTGAAATTTTGGATTACTGGTGGTTTTATTTTCCATATAAGCCCTTATTTCTTCTCTAACCTCAATGGACAAGTTGGACATTGTTTTACATTTTGTTTCCACCCACTAAATATTGCTTGTGTCGATTAATACCACTATTATAAGTACCTTTACACAAAGTACATAAAATGGAATATTTTTTTGGTACTTGAGTATCATATTTTCATCCAATGTTTCTTTTTTTGTTGGTATTCGACGCCATTGAATTCACTATTTATGGATAAATAAATAATATATCAATTAGTATTAAACTAAGTTAAGTAGGGAAGAAATAATTATAGAAGGATTAAATTATTTTTAAAAAAATATATAGGCAGATTGTAGTGAGCACTACAAAAGAATAGAGCACTCACGTCACTACCACAGTACCACTGAAAAATAGAGCATAATCTCGGTCATTCACTAGTTAAAAACAGAGTAGAGAATAAGAAAAAAAGAGAAACAACTAGAAGAGAAGAAGAGAAGAGGAGAAGAACTGAAGAACAAGAAAAAAAAGAAGGTCTCGTACCTGAGCTGAGCAGTAGTCGCGAAAGAGTTGTAGTCGCGAAGGAGAAGAGGTCGCAACTTGCGAAAAACTGAGGAGAAGAGGTCAGGACTTGCGAAGGTGAATATTTGCAAAAATACCCCAACAAAACCCTAATTTTGAATTTTAATTATTAAATCATACCTTTAAAAAAAGGCGACGTCTATCGCCTCGCAACGCCGTGTCTCCTTTCGCCTTTCGGTCGTCATTGCTTGCCTTTCTGAAATCGCCTCGCCTCACTGGAGATAGGCGGCGTTGTCTTGCCTCACCTCACCTTGTGGCTAAAAGCGAAAGGCGAGCATCTTTCAGAACACTGGTCATGCAAAATGATAAAATCATTAGAACAAGTAAACATTTTGTTTACTACGACATGTGATTCAACTGTACCAATATTTGTTTGGTACAACCAAGAAGAAAGTGTAGGTAATTTTTCCTGCACATTTTTCTTCTCTGTATTTATTGTAGTAATATAAAAGTATTCCGCCTTTTATTATATTGTAGTCTCAACATGATAGCCATTTTGGCGAATAACCTTGAAACATACCAATTTTCTTTGAGACTTACTACAATACCATGCATTATCAATTACCAATAATGTTCCTCCATGTAGTAATAAGGACACTCTTCCAGAGCCCTCAATCAATTTTGTACAACTGGATATTGTATTAACATTTGTCTTTTTAATAACCAAATGAGAAAAATATTTATTTTCTCTTAGTATCGTATGAGTTGTGACACTATCTAGAAGGCACATATCTCCATTACTCATCTTGAATCCAACTGAAGACTGGATTTTTTTATTTATCCGACTCGAAAAGAAAATTGATTAACTTTTAGGAAAAAAGATAATCCTGAATTAAGTAGGTCTCAATTAGTTAGAGACTAGTATTGATAGTGTATTGTAAAATGAGAGGAAAATCCAAGAATACTAAATAAGAAAGAAAGACAAATGGTAATGGAAAATATATAGTAGAGAGTATTATTTTATCTATTCAAGTGTGTCTTTCACAAGGGTGAAGAATGTTAGGGTTTTGCCCTGATTTTTTCACCTTATTTGAAGTTTATTTTTTCCTTAAAGAAAAAAGTTAAAGTATTACCATAAATGTTTTAACTTTTCTAAAAGGAAAATATAATTCTCTTTCATGTTTGATTTATTTTTTCCTTAGAGGAAACGTTTGGAGATCTATAAATTGAAGATCTATGTTCTCATATCAACAACACAATAACATCCACAAATAGTCATTTGGAGACTTTTGTTTATAAGAATATTTTCTCCTAAACATATTTATATTTTTTTAATGTTAGTTTTCAATATATGTAGGTCGCTTGACCAAACCATATTAATAATATGTATTTAGTATATTTTTATTTGTCGTCAGATTTGTTAATCATTATAATTTACAATTGTAAGCTTCCGCATGACGTCCCATTCACTTTTGAACCCAACAAGTGGTATCAGAGCACATAGTTCAATGATACAATGGAGCAAATTTGAAGACATGTTCAAGGTGGTTTTAGACCAATTTGCAATCAACATGATGATAATGAAGATTTTTGTGCTACTACATGTGGAAAAAATTTCAAATATATTTTCAACAATATCCTGCTGTTCCATCCTTTAAAACAAAATCAATTTTCAACTCATGCTAACTTTAGGGCATGGGCTCCAACTTTCAACTCCTGCAAATTTTAATGTCCGGGCTCCACTTTTAACTCATGCATCTTACTTTTAACGCATGAGCTCCACTTTTAACTCATGCATCTTACTTTTAACACATGAGCTCCACTATCAACTCATGCATATTACTTTTAACGCATGAGCTCCACTTTTAACCTTGTTCATAACTTTCAACAAAGGGCTCCAACTTTTAACCCATATCAATTTTTAACCATGGTATGCAGTAGTGATACATGAAGATTGTATGAAGAAGGAGGATCAAGTTTTATGAAGAAAATCCATACAAAAGGGGAGATTTGTTAGGGTTTTGCCTTGATTTTCTTACCTTATTTGAAGTTTACTTTTTCGTTAAAGAAAAGTAAAAGTATTACCATAAATGCTTTAACTTTTCCTGAAAGAAAAATATAATTTTCTTTCATAATTGATTTATTTTTTCCTTAGAGGAAAAGTTTCAATGAAGATTTATAAATAGAAGATCTCTTTTCTCATATCAACAATAAAATAGCATCCACAATGTAGTCATTTTATCACTTTTGTTTATGGAGATATTTTCTCATAAACATATTTAAGGTTTTAATATTAATTTTCAATATGTAGGTCACTTGAGAAAACTATATTAATAATATGTCTTTAGTATGTTTTTATTTGTTGTCTGATTTCTCAATCATTATAATTTGGAATTGTAAGTTTCCGCATGACACCCTATTCACTTTTGATCCCAACAAAGAATACCCTTTTATAGGATGTAGAAATCATCCGTTTACAACCTTAAGCCACATACGTTAGTACATCTTTAATACTTACATTAAATAGATACATTACGTTAGATTGTTGATGGAAAGAAACATCCACAATTAAATGGATTTGTAACAAGAAATAGATTTTTATGATAAAAACATATGAAAATGGGTCCATTTTTATGTTAAATGTAACACCCCATAACTAGAAAGAACTAGAAAGAAGTTAAAAAGTGGAAATAGTCATTTTTGGAAAGAATTTAAAAATATGGAAAATTTGTTGAGTGTGTTAAGTTGAGTTTTTGGTCAACTTCAAACTTCAAACGACTATAACTTCTAGTTCATGATGAGTTAGGTGTGTTTCCAGATATCATAGGAAAGATCTTGGAACAATCTTTCCAATGCCGCCAAGTTTGCGCGATTTCGAGTTCGTATGAGTGAGTTATGCCCATTGAAAATTGGGTTGTTCAAATAACGAAAGTCCAATCTGGATTTTAGAAGGGCATTATGGTCTTTTCCTTACCCAATTATTTTATTTCATTTTTGGGTAAATAATTGGGACCAAATCTGATTTTAGTCAGTTAAGAAAAAAATTGAAGTTCACGCTAGGGCTTGGAGAAAAGAGAAAAAGAGGAGAAAAGAGAAGAAAGTTCTAGATTCATCATCTTCGTAAGTAATTACTTGTGGATTTCGTCAAGGGGTGACCCCTACGAGGTATGTGAGATCACATAGCATTGGGTTAGTTCACCTACGCGCCAAGCATGTTTAATTCAGCGTATTTTTGTCCTAAAAAGATTGAGAATTTGATGTTCTTGATAGTTGTTCTTGAATTGATTTCGTTCTTGAATATGAATTGAGATTAAGGAGTTTCTCGATGTTAAAGTGTTGTTTCCTTGAGTCTTTTGGGTTAGATTTTGTGTATATGATTTGGGTACATGAATCTAAAGTGAATTTGAGAAAAAGAATTGGATTACAATGATTTAGGATCAGAAAACGAGATCAAAAGTTTGTCATATTTTTTCCTGAAGGGAGGTTGGCGTGATGCGCCCCCGTAGCGCCCAAGAGGCTAGCGCGGTGTGCCAAATTTGAGCCCCAGTAAGTTAGGTCTGGCGCGGCGCGCCAGGGACGTTCCTGGATCATTGTTTTTCACCAGTTTTTCATCGTTTAGCTTAGTTAAGTCCTTCTAAAGTGTACTAACACCTTCCATTGATTCTAACTACTCTAAATGACTTCTAAACATCTAGAAATCATCTAGAAACATGAATCATAACCTTGAATCCATAAATTAAAATTCAAGGAAAGTCAAGAGCCAAGTCTAGGAAGTTCTTAGAGTCTTTTCAAGAAGTCTTTTGCAAAAATATTTAACTTTTGTTTTAAGACTTAAAGTTCAAGTTGAGTAAAGAGTAAAGAGTAAAGTTTGAAGTTCATTTGTTCAAAAAAGTATATGGGGACTATGTATTCCCAAAGAGTTTTAAAATGTTTCACATTTAAATAAAAACAGAAACTGAGATTTTCAAAAAGCCTTTGAGCTAGTTTTCAGAAAAGAATA